CGAGATGTTGCCGAGGAAGCACGATTTGACTTCGACGAAGAGCTGTTGCCTGAAGACAGCTGGGAGCCAGACGAAGTTGCCGGCGAATTCGAGGTGGAAGCGATTTTGAGTGACCGAACGCCAATGCCAACCAGCACGGAGAGACATGTGTGTCAATTTGAGGTGAACTGGGTTGTCTACGAGTCAACTACATGAGAACCAGCCTCTAACCTGTCGTGTGGAGGGCTCTTTTAGACTACTTGCGAAACAAGAAGAGCGAGCAACGTCTACAGATGGTCCAGGTTGCTCACGAGGCCTGAAAGGCAAAAATATCATGAAGAACGAACTGGGTGTGAGACAAAGCAGCTCACAATGCCAGACGAAAATTGCTACAGCTGCTCCATGAATGTGTGGTGGAGTGCCAGGAAGTTCGGCTCGGTGATATCCCGTCGACGAGAGACGCAGGACGAATGACGGAAAGGGACCTGACGAAGGACGGGAGGATCTGATTCGCTGATCCCGATCAGACGGTCACTAAGCATGGGACCTCCGAAAAGTGACACCGTCATAGAATAATGTGGCTGCGCCGACGACCCCGTCCTGGTGACCCAAACATGGACCATATCTTGGAGGACCGGAGAACGGACCCCGTCTCCGGGAGCCTAGGACGAACCCCGTCTTACGACCCATCCAAGATACCGCAGCCCAAGTCATGAATCAGGTCGAGGTATCACATGGATTAGGGGTTGCTGTAAGTGCGACCGTTAGACGAACTATGCAGGAAGGGAGGCGGTGGATAGGAAAGGCAGGATAACACCAGTTCCCAATATTCTTGGTTATGCAAAAGTCCCCCTAAGTTACTGGTTGGACAGGAGCCCCAAATCTTCTTCGCGCGTCTACGTCTGAAGTCCCTCCAGCGCTCGGTAAGTAGAGCCGCCTCGATAAGTGCGGCCCCCGACGTTCGGATTGGTTGGTGAACTCACCCTCAACACCCCATACCCGTAGTGAGGGACACGTAAAAGAATACAGTCGAAGCATCCTCCGATAACAGGACGCGGGCTACGAAGAACGAGTGGTGGCCCGATAACGCTCCACACCCCCTTAGAAACGCCGGCCCGAACGCCGCACGACCACAGACAAACTCCACGACCGAAGGTGAACAAGGCCAGAAGTCGTCATCAGAAGTGACACCCGTCTATTAAGACAACCCACACCGCAACAAGACTATACTCAAGCTACGTCTCCACCCTGACGTGAGATACGCTACTACAAGTCCCGGGAAAATATCTGATGCAGACATCGACTCGGCCGCATCGAGGGCGAGGGCAACCTTACACGAAAACGTGAGCCCGCTACTCCACAATGGTGCCGCGACCCGAGAGTACTACTCCGGAAGACAGAGTGGAGATAAAGTAAGAGCCAGTTGCGGGAGCGCCATCAATCGGAAGGTCGTCGGTGGCCAGTGAGCTCGAAGAATATTGACCTGTCGCATCGTGGGCTCGGAGGGAACCTTCACGACAGGCCATGGGGCCCGCGACGATCATGAGGGCTACGAAGAACAGTTTGCCTTTCTCGATGTGGCTCCGGGCGGAGCCACACGGACTTCGACGCAAGTCGAAGTCTGACCGGTCTGAAGCTTGGAAGAGTTGAAGACCAACTACCAATGCTCACCAGGGCGCAACCGGCGAAGCGCAAACCAATGAGAAAGAAGAAGATGCGCGCACCGGGGTCGGAGGACGAACTGACGCCCAAGACGGGATCCAAAGACGCGGGACGCCAATACACCGCGGAGGAGTTGGAGGATGCGCTCAGCCGTACGTAGTTGATTCGGTAGCTAGAATGGGACCCGAGCCTCAGCTTCATCAAACCGAAGCTAATCCGTGAACTAACGGTGCCGTTCCACGAGCTGGACTTCTGGAAGGTCACGTATGTCTGACGTTCCAAGCGTTGTTTGGCGTACTGCGCGAATCGGGTTTCGTACTGGGAGCCTTCGTAATGGATAAGGTGTATGACTGGGACTTGGAGTCGTGGACGAACGCGATCTACGCAATCACCGACCCGCTCACGGTTTTGGTTGGCACAGCCGAGAGTCGTAGACGACCCCGATCCAAGTTCGAAAGCCCAGGACGTGGTCCGCCTTACCTCTGCCGGCTTATGCGTCGAGTGAAGACTCTGACAGCAGCATTGAGGCCCAGAAGCGAATGCCGATGCGCCAACTGCTACGTGGGATGCAGCTCACTGCAACCCTGGCCGAGCCGGAAAGCCCGTCCTCTGAAGTGGCGATACTCAAAGCCTTGGAAGACGCGATCGTCCGACTGATGCAGTCGACGAGGATGCAGGCTGCACCTGAGACGACATCGCCCTCCTCGCTCTACGCGAGTACGACGCCCGTGCCCCGTCATACGACGGCGGACATGGCTCACCAAGGGCCGACGGACGTCGCGATGGAGTTAGTGAGCTCGCGCTCGTCGTCCCGTTCCAAATGAGACCAACACGAGACCCAGACGATCTCTTTGATCGAGATGTCGGTCTAACGGGAACTGCGGCCACTGTGTCCACAGCCACGGCAGGCACCGGCGTCGCGCGAGTGTGCCTCTCGGCGTGCTCTGAACTGAACGAGTTCAACAGGAAAGACACCGGTGGGGAGAAAGCCCGCGCCTGGTTCAACCGTCTGAAGTCCCCGTCAAGATGTGACGGATGACGGGCGACGAGATGTGCGCGCTCGTCGGCGACCTGATGGCCGGTCCGGCGTGCCAATGGTATCTGCAACTGGAGAAGTCCACGAGGAAGTCATGGACCGAGCTGACGGAGCAATTCCGAGTTCAGTATTGCGGTAAATGCGTGTCTAAGCCCAGCCGTTACTACCACGCGTCCAAACATGTTGATGAGATGCCGCTCGAATACCTCTACCGGTTGGATGTCGCAGGCATGAGGGCGAATATCCGCTACTCCGACGGGACGCCAGAGGAAAACCGCGAACATGTTGAGCTGTTCATCAACTCCCTGTGTGCGCAGGAGCAGGAATTGGCATCCCATCTCACTCTGATGGAAGTCCTGGCCACGGTCACGTTGGAGAAAAAGCTTTGCGTGCGACAACGTGACTTAGCTCATCAAGGCGATGCTCTTCGCTCAAACTGATTCGCCAGTAGTCGCCGACGCCAACACCGACGCCGGCCAGGGCCATCCATGCAGACCAAATGACGACCGACGACTATGACTCGGAACGCGAGGGAGATCCCGACGACGACCAGATCTGCGATCAAGATCGGGACGACGAAGAACGAGCCAAGATGTTTGTGACGCGTCACAACCGGAAAACACGCGTCGCGACTTTGAGATGAGTGGAATGTCCCACGACCGGCCTAAGTGTCGACACTGTAGATCACGCCGTCACTCGGAGGGGACTGCTGGAGCTTGCTTACCTGCCAGAAGTGCACGGGTCAAAACCCGACGGACCGCTGCCGCCGCGCCTGCAAGGCATGTGGAGAGGTGCATGAAGCCGGGAAGTGCTCGCTGAAGGAGTACTTAAACCAACTGCGCCTTGGGGTATGATCCACAGAAGCATGACGGGAAGCCCCCTACCACCGCAAAGAAGATGTTAACTAGGTCAGTAAACGCACGGCGACATGAACAATTTTAGATGCGAATACAAAATGGTACGTACCGCGCTAACACGCGCTCTCCGAGTTTCGGTAATTAGATATACCGATGAGTATGCGCGGGAGACATCGACGGACGTAATCGACTTGCATCCAGGAGAACGTGATATTGGAAACACTACGCTCCGGACAAGTGGTATAAACAAGCGAAGATCCATAAAAACCTGAATAACCGGAAGGTCGTGCTGCTGCTCGATACAGGCGCCGAGGTGTCCATCCTGGACACCACCTTTGCTCGTGAGGTTGGTTGTCAAATTGATACGAGTGTAACGCAGGATTTTGTAGGTATCGGAGACGAAACATACTTCAGCGTGGGGAGGCCATGCGTCAAAGTCACGCTGGCGGGGAACATTGTATAAACATGGACCTCTGGGTCGGAGATCTCGTTGGCCAGAACGCGATCTTTGGAATGAACTTCATGGTACCTGCAGGGGTACGGATCGACACAGCGGACGGAACTGCATGCTTACCAGACGAGGTTCGTATCCAAATCAGCGGAAGCCGGCCGCTGTTCGGTGACGGTCCCTTCATTGATCCGTGTCGGCGCGGGCTAGACGTTCTACGTGTCGCTGCGACCGGAGAAGAACACGCTGCGCTTATGGGTGACGCGAGGAACGGCATGGATAACATCCGTAATCAAGGCCCCTGTTGGGCGTACTTGCACGTCACCAACATCACGGAGAAGGCGGTCGTCCTAGGCGCGCACACAACGATTGGTTGGTGGACGCCTGTCGAGTCGATACCCCGCGCGTTCGGATTCGTACGACCCGGATCGCGGAAGTACGACGAGTGGCAAACTGGGCGTATGGGGCAACATCGAACGTGAACGACGGAGATGTCTTCCAGGGGTCACTCGATCCAATGACAGCACGACGGGTAAACGTCAGACCACAGAAGGTCATGCACCGACCAGAGGAATTACGGGACGTGCGAGAAGAGTGTCAGCAGGAACAGGTCGCGGTAATGACCACGATTTCACGGGGGGGTACGGGCGTGTTTACCGACATAACCTTGACTCGGGACGTCCGTTCTCCGGAATCGGGGAACGGACCACACCCTAAAACGGGACTGGAATATGGACCGCGTCCTACGACGGGGTCGATCGACAGGTCAGACAGGCTGGACGTTAGTTTCCAAGACATCCCTGAATAGTAAAACATGCTGACGAGGAAGTAATATTCCAAGATGCTTCGGACCTGTTCGCAGAAGACGTGGAAGCTGAGATGGTAGTGTTACCCGAAGTACCGTTGACGGCTGAAGTGAAGATCGGGGTCTCAAGATTGGGAGTTTGGAAGGAGTGGAGCCGAAGGAGGCTGCAGAGATGGAAGAGCGACTACGTCATATCGTCTGGAAGAAGATCAAATGACTGATCAGGAAAGGCAACACTTTGCCGCCCGCAGCAAAAGTCATCATCTGCGACATCGACGCGGGAAACGCGAGGCCCGTCGCACAGCGAGTCGGGAAGATCTCGTCACAGCCTCGCGAGAAATTAGCGGATCTGATTCGAGGACTCCTCAGCGCACGCATGATCCGCGCTCCAAAGTCACCGTGGACCTCTCCTATCGTAGTCATCGTGAAGACGAACGGGCCGACATCAAACTCTGCGTTGGCTATCGACTGGTCAACGAGTTGACCCAGTTGATGGTATATCCGATGCCATTGGTCACGGATCTCTGGGAAGACCTGAATAAGTACCGGTGGTACTGTTCTTTGGACATGGCCAGCGGATTCTGGGTGGTCCCCATGACGGCCTGGGTCCGTCTAATCTCCGCTTTCGTTACACCGTCCGGACTGTTCCAGTGGCTAAGCATGTCGTTCGGTCTGTGCAATTCGCCGCAGATATATAGCAATGGTTGATAGACAACACGTTGTATGGCTTCTGGAAGCTGTCTCCGACGAGGAATACCAGCGACGATTTCAAACACGGGATCCCGTCTAAGCCTGGAACGAGGTTCGTCTTAAGTCGACGGTCGTACATTGATGATATCTTGATCGGGGGTACGTCGTGGGACGACCTGTTCAAGAAGGTGGAACTTTTCCTTGAAGTCTGTGAGGAATGGCATTTATCGATCAGCGTGGAGAAAAGTGAATGGGGAATGGCGAGAGTGGATTGCCTGGGTAATGAAGTGTCGAAGACGGACTCGGGGCGAAGCCGAAGAACTTAGAGACCCTCGCGACGCTGGAATTCCCGCGTACGCAGAAGGGTCTACAGTCGTTATTGGGTACTACCATCGTTTCATCCCGGACTTCGCGATCTACGCGACCGCGCTCTATTACCTCACCTCACCGCACCCGACTTTGAAGAACGGATCGCGAATCCTGAGACGCGCGATCTGGAAAAGTGGACTCACGCGGAACGAGCATTTGATACGCTCCGTAGTAAGATCGAGACGACACTCATGTTGAAACACTTCGACATGGATAAACAGCCGGTGATAATCGTGTACGCGAGTGACTGGGCCGTGTCGGCCGTCCTTGCCCAAGATCACGACGGGGTATATCTGCCCGTCAAGTTGACCAGTCGGATGTTGAAGCCCAATGTGTTGAACTCCAGCATCGCCGAGAAGGAAATCCTAGCGCTGCTACGCGTCCTGGACGAGTGTCATAACATGCTGACAGGGAGGACGATTCGCGTCCTAACCCGACACACGATGCTCGGATGGCTCTTCTGCTCTAAAGGTCGTCAAAGACGACTCTCGCAATGGGCTGCAATCCTCTCGCCGTGGAGGCTGGCGATTCTCCGGTCCGCAAAGGGGGAGGAAGAGATCCTGTGCGCGTTGGCCGTGAGCATTACGCCGAGGGTCTACGTCGACTCCACGCTAGAAGAGATCGCGCCGCGACAACGCCTGTCTAGGACGGCCCCGATCCCGGTTCCGAAGATCGGACTGGCCGAAAGTCTGCATGTGATATGTTTCGACGGATCCGCCCGCGTCAAACGCGGGGAGGAGCATTCAGTGCCATCGTGTGGAAACTACCGACCTGTGACATGGTTCGGGCTGCATCGGGGTATGCAGAAAGTCGCACCGTGAACGAGGCCGAATACCGGTGTATGCTGCTCGGGGTACCGCTGCTACATGACCTCGATGTCACGCGAATGGTCATATGTGGGGACTCCAACCTCGTAGTACGACAGATGTGGGCGAGATAGACTGTAAGTCACACGAGCTAAAGTTGCTGAGACAGTAGAGGTAGAACGCGTTACGGGAATGGCCCAGACACAAGTTCCTCCACGTCCGACGAGACTGGAACACGAGCGCGGACATGTTGGCCGGACAGGCACCTCAGCATCAAGGAGATAATATTACCTATAGCGCAGAAGGGTTGGAAGATCTGAGAACCTTGAACCGGCTGGGAGAGGTTGTGTGTCTAACGACGCACGATCCGGAACGCGGCAACCACGCCTCAAGAGCTGAGACGCACGACCCAGATGTCCCCGTCCTGGAGATCGAGACGCGCGATCTAGATGGCGTAGAACGCGGGACGAGAAAAACTTTCCCCGTGATCACACGCTCACGAACACGTAGAATCCGAGGGAACGATCGGAGATCTTGAAAGAGCTCGAGGTTCAACGACTCCGTCTGGATCGAGTCTGCACTGCGCAAAAAGTAGGGTCTTGGATCGCCAATCTCATGAAGTTTCTAGACGGGGACATCAACGTGCTGTCGAAACGCGAAGCGAAGAACTGCGCCAAGATAGCGGAGCAGTACGAAGTGGTGGAGAGCGGTTTACCGTACTACCACGTACGTGGGAGCGAGGCCGCAGAAAAGCGGGATACGATCATGAAACTGGTCGGTCCAGAGACCCTCAGAGAAGACGTGTTGCACCATTACCAAGCAAGTCTGGAAGGCGGACATCAGGGCATCGGTTGGACATATCAACGGGTACGACAACACTTCCACCGGCCAGGGTTGTTCAAGAGCGTACAACACCACGTCGGAGAATGCGTCGACTGTGAGACGGGGAAAGGCCGTCCCACGATTCGAGGAGAGTCGCCAGGCAATATAGTCGTGACGTACCCGTTCCAAGTCGTGGTGATGGACCATATCTCGTCACTACCTGCGTCGCATAAAGACAACACGGAACTCTTGATCTAGGTCGACCTCTTCACGGGTTTCGTGATCGCGAAGGCGAGTGCGTCTCGAACGGCTGAAACTGTCGCGGATTCGTATGAGGAAGCTGGCTTCAGACGATTCGGTGCCAGCGAAGCGATCCGTCACTACCGCGAACCCGGCTTCATGTCAGACTTTTTCAAGGTTTTCAACAAGCTGATGGGACAGCGGGAACACGCGACGCTCGCGTACCGTCCGCAAGCAAACGGGGCGGCACAACGCATCGTGCAGACCATTACGAGATCTACAAGATGTACATTGGCGATAGCGACCAACGCAACTGGGACCAATACGCAGAACGACTGACATACGCATTTAACACGGCTCACAACCGAACGCGGGACGAAACCCCGTTTTTCCTTTGTGTATGGCTGCACACCGCGGTCTACGCTGGAAGCGACGCTAGCGGCGGGCAACACTTCGCACCGAGATGCAGAAGCTCGACAGTGGAGGATGTGCATTCAGCGCCACTGCCAGATAGCACGCGCACAATCCCTGGAACTTGTCCGCGAGGCGGTAGACGCGAGAGCTGCGCCCCAGAATGCGCACGCCAGTGAGCTCGCGATAGAACGCGACTCGCGAGTCGAACAACGTGGGACCGACACCTCGGTTTTCACCCCCGCTGTGACGGAAGTCTCGAGGGTGGCCAATTCGAGGAAATTTACTGGCAATGCCGAACGTTTCCTCGAGGACGGTTTCGCTGCAACTGGTGCTCAGAAGGCCTGGTGCCAAATCCTCAATGTTAGCTTACCGGTATCGGCTCACGAGGACTTCGCATCCCCGCTCGACTACGCTATTCTCGCTCTCATGCACAACATCGTGAGTTCAAGGCATCCCTGGCGCGTTTTGTTTGATCGCATGCCAGACGAGCCCTTGACATTTGTGCTCGGAGAGTTCGTACAGGGGGTGCGGATCTCCATCCTAGCTGTCGCCTCATTCGAATGTGGCGGCAGTTCTCGGGATATTGTTACGAGGATAATGAGAAAGTGGACCTTTGTGTTGCCCTGTCGGAGCGTCGGCACTGGTTGCAAATGTCAGCTATGAGGAATGCAATCCAAGCATTCAAGGCAGCTGCCAACCCTCTCGAACCATTCGCGCACACGATTCTCGAACTTTGGTACGATTTGAATCGGATGCGAATAATAGAGCTTATCTTCTACGCCTGCAGATCGATCGGTTATGGGATTGGTGTACGGGAGCGAAGCGCACCTTGCCGACCGAGGTGCTGTTGGAGCCCAGCTACCTCCATTATTTAACAGAGGTATTGGAATGGTCTCCTACCACCGAGGATTGGTTTAAAGAATTACGGGTGCTGGATGCTGAGCAACCATGGAGAAATTGTTAGATCGATGTCCCGCAGAACATCCATACAACACTTCTTATGCCCTCTGCAACCCCAAGGTTGCTGTTTTCGTGCCTTCGTCCATGACTCGTCAGGACGCTATCTCGAACATTGTGGTGGACTCCTCCCTTGCTGATACTGACCTCTCCGCTCCTTGGATTGAGGAACGGTTCGTTGACGTTGAGGAGTCTGCAGCTACACCAGTCGAGTCCGCTGGGCAGGGCTCGGTTGGTACTGAGGCTGCCAATCCTGAGCCTACCGAAGCGACGAATGCTCCCAGCGAGGACTCGTTCTCCTTTATCCCTGTCATAACAGCGACATCAGGATCCAGTAGTGGGCGACCGGGGACTCGGCCACTCCGGCTGGCGCTTAGCACCCTTGCTTATGGCGCGGAAGAGCCACCTTCCGACATAGTGCTCGCTCCGTTCGAGATGCTGGTCCAGATCCCTACCAGCGAGCGGTTGGCTTCAGAGTAGTTCTTCATTTCTTTTTTTTCTTTTCAAAGTATTGTCGTTCTCAAGTAAGTTTTGTTATTCTAGTGGTAATTTCAAGTAATCTCGTAATCTCCATTCTCCACATTTCCACTTCAAAATTACTTTCATCGTATACAAACATGCAATATACATTTCGATGCAGTAACTTCTGTCGTCTGTTGTCGTTGGCTGCACTTAACTCCACCGACAGCTCATTCATTAGTCGCATGTAATTCTTGTCAGCGACTTGAACCATTTGCTACCTTCGGTCGGGACGTTGTTTCTCGGAGATACTCGGATAATAGACCCCCGCACGAAAGATTGGATGCAGGTTCCCAAGTCGGGTCATCCTAGCCGACCCATTGCACCTTGAACTCTCTGACGGCTTGTTCTGTGCTAGTGGACAGAGGGGTCATATCATCCAGTATCGCTTCGACTTCAAATTCATCCGCGACATGGTCTGGTTCACAGCTATCCTCTGGAAGCAATTCCTCATCAAAATCTAATCGTGAAGCCTCGTTCACGTCATGTGTCAAACGGGCACTCGGTCGATCTCCCAATACGTCTACCGTCTTTAGACGTGACACATGCACTACCAGGTAAAATCTGTACCCACTTCGGTCGGGAAGTTCGAGCTCATAGGCAAACTCTTCTACTTTCCTCTTGACCCTGAACGATCCATGCCATCGGTGTGCAAGTTTTTTTCGTCAATACTGGCTTCACGCGTTCAATATATATAACCATACACGACTCCCGACCTTGAACAGAGATCTCGTAGTACCCACGCCATCGCCGTCCGAGTCCTCGGTCACTGCCCCTGTCGCCGGCAGATCATCACTTGGCGTAACGGTTTGGCCTGTTTCTGGGGCCATACCTCTTTCTCGACTACGGAGGGTTTCATTGTGCTTCCTTGCTCTCCGAGCTTTCTCAGTGGTCTGGTATTCCTTGGCCATCTTCAGTGCTATTTCTTGTTGGTGATTCACTTCTCGACGCCACGCCAGTGCGTCTCACTGTCGACCGAGCCCTCGTTTGAGCGACGAGGACATCGCTTGAGCGTAGACTTAGCATCCCTCCCATGGACGAGGAAAACGAGTGTCTCTTTTCTCGTTGTGTCCATCGAGTTGTTGATCGCAAAGATCAGCTTTTCGGCGACATTGTCCCAGTACTGTTGCAGGGGGTCTTCTGCGTACATCCGCACTGATTGCATCAACGTCTTGACCATGCGCTCTTATTGGCCGTTGGCTTGGGGCCGGTAGCTCAACGTTGCCCTAGGCCTAGATGCCATCATTTCGGTGAACGATTGGAAAACCTGGATCATGAGTCGTAGATCTCTGTCATTTCTGATGGGGGAGGGTGCACCGAATCTTCGGTACATACACTCCTTAAAAACTTGAGCCACTCACAGAGCAGTCGTATCTGGTAGAGATTTGCCATCACGTATCCCGTGAATGCGCATTGGAACAGTCATAGCGCTGTGTTGCCCCGCCGAGACTTCGGTAAGGGTATCACAAAATCCATTAAATCCATCGAAACGACCTGAAACGGTCGTTCCGCTAGTATGTTCCCTGGGGAGTATCCGCGGATCTTTGGTCGACTTTCACTTGAGCTACCGTCGGGACAGGACTGCACGTGCTTCGCTACGTCTGCATATAGACCGATCCAATAATAGTCCAGATTCACTCTGTACAAAGTTCGAGCGATACCTTGATGGCTTCCTTCTTACGAGTCGTGCCAGTTCTGCAGTACCTCCTGAATCATCATTGAGGGTACTACTAGACGCAGCATCGCGTCTTCTTGCGGTAGGTCACTTCTCAGAGGCCCCGTTCCCACATAGTAAAGCACGTTGTCTTCGCTTAGGACGAAGAGGACGGACATTTTCCTCGCGTCTCTCGCTGCACGGTACGTTCGCGTTGATTCATCCCCGCGGAGAACTGTCTTCAAATTCGCCCATCGCAACTCCTCATCCGGAGTGGTCGCGATCCTTCTTCGACGTTCTTCCTGGACAGTTAGTGGATCCAAATCTAGTGGTCGCAATCCTTCTTCAGCGTTCTCTCTGGTCCATTAGTCGATCCACGTCTTCTGTGTTAGGCGACACGGGGTTGGGTACCGTTACCCTTGGTAACTCTGCTTCCGGATGGACTGAGTCGTCTGTTGGCACACTGTTGGCTTCATCTCGTTGTGGTGTATTTTCTTCATCTGCCACCGAGGTTTTGTCGGCGAATCTGACGCGTTTGGGCTTCGACTTAGCCTGGAGCCTGGTCGTTACCGTTAGGTTCCCTTTCTCCCTCTGGTCCTCTCGCACAAAACCGAAGATCTCCGGGACAGTTCCGGATCGTTGTGACGGTTTAGTGTGTCGCAAATGTCGCGTTTGAACTTGGGATTGTGTGATGCTGATCGAGGGTTTATCCACCGAGGACTCTGTGATAGATGCATAAATGATCTCTTGAATGCGGTTCAACGATCTCAGCTCTGCCAGCCTAGGCCCGGTTGGTATCACGCTAGATGCCTTGTTTTCAGACGCTTCTGTTGCCAGCGAGTCTGCAGACGTATTATACTCTCGTACTGCGTGTAGGTACTTGACTGACTTTAGTCGAGCAACGAGTTCTCGGTGGCGGTTGAGTTGGGTCATCCGTGGTTCCTTTTTACACGCAATCACCCCTAGTGGCTGCTGGATTGCTAGTCTCAAATCACCAACAATGACAAGGTTGGTTGCACCAATGTCCAGTGCTGCCTGGATCCTATTGTTCATGCCAGAGTACTCGGCTAAGTTCACTATTGTTGCTTCGAGATAAGCACTCACAGTGGTGACTATAGTTCAGTCGGGTAGTCGCCACGTGATCCATGAGCAACTACCATAGCCACCGTATTTCTCGGTTTTGGCTGGTCCATCGAACAAACCTCACACCTAGCGCTTGGTCTTGCCATGGATGGACAGGAGTTCTTCAACCGAGTCCACCAACAGACATATATGCCACCTAAGTGACCTGGTCCTTTTGGACTTCCCCAAAAGAAGTCTTGACCTTTAAGTAGCAAATTCTGTTCTGTTCTCCGCCCTAGTGGGCGTTAAGACTAGTCCTAACTCCTACTATAGCGTATACAAATATCAAGTATAAATGCGACTAAGCCAACGACTCTCAAACGGCTAATGACGACTCGACCAATCACCCGACGATGACTCGCCTCAGTGCGGATCTCGACTACGGGTCAGCTAGTGTGTCGTACACAGCTACTGGTATAGTGACTAGTAGTCTCCAGGTTGGAGTCACTATATAGGGACATCGCTGTATCCACGAGTACGCACACCTTGAATGCGAATCTGGTGTATGCCACACCAGGTAACACAAATTCGTCCTCAATCGCCATCGCTGTCAAAACCACTGCCGGGAGGCAGAAAGGGGAAATCCCTACACCACACTAGGTAGACGAGCGTACAGCAACTGAGGATCTATGCGGACGGTAGAAGATCCCTTCATCGGCGGTGTAAGCGTCGCCAACGAGTCCTCCAAATCCACAAAACTCGTTAACCCAGGTTGCAGTAACTGTGCCAAGGCACAATCCATTTCCTTGACTCGTTTAACAGCCAGGTGCCACTGCGATAGCATTACGGCGAATTGGGTCGTCCGTCCGAACAGTGATTTGGATGTGTGTAGTTGAAAATCGCGGGTACACATGAATTGTGCGGTCCGCCAGCTGTGTATAACATGTCTTCAGCAGCAATAGCAAGGCTAGCACTTCCTTCTCAGCCGGATGGTAATAAGTCTTGGCCTCTTTTAGAACACGTCCGCAAAAACGAACCGGGTGCATTTTGCCGTCGTGTTCTTGCATCAGGGTGGAGCTTAACACCCACTCGTTCGCAAACAGTGTTACGTGAACTTCTTTTTGCAGGTCGAATTGGTGCAGAATTGGGGCGGTACCGATCTTCTGTTGTCCTTTAGCAAAACGCTGTCGGGTGACCGACAGATCACCGACCGATTCAAAATCTTCCTCCTGCAGCTGGTACAGCACTGCCACATATACGGCGAAGTCCTAGTTAAAACTTACTATAGTAGTTCAGTGCACCCAAGACCGACTGCATTCCTTTCTTGCTGGTCGGGAACGAGAACTCGGTCACCCACTTATTCTTCTTAGCCTCTGCTCGTAACCCTTCTGGCACCGCTTCTTGCGACAGAAAGTCGATTCGTGACTGGACGAAAATGCTCTTCGTGAAGCTAACACTGATTCGGCACTCAGTGAACCTTTGGAGCAATCGATCCGGGTTGACAGATAATCGTCGAACGTCTCGCTTCCAGAACAAATGTCGTCCACGAATGATCTCTAGTCAAATGCTGGTACCAACGAGGACTCGTCTGGCTCGCCAGTCGAAAATATATCACCCACTGAACTATTGACTAGTTCTGAGACAGGGTCCGGATTAGATGCCGACTCTCGGTCGGCTTCAAACTTGGAACGAGTCCTCGTTGAATCCTCTGTCACTCTTGTCTTGTTACGTTCGACGGCTTCTTCAGCGGACCGCATACGCTAAGAGTACTCTTTCCAACCGCCCTTGGGTTGAATGAACCCCCATAAAGCGTTATCCATCATCCCTAGGTAAAGCATTGGCGCGTTCTTAAGACCGAACGGCACCCGGCGCCACTCAATGTGTCCAAGTGTACATACAAAAGCAGAGACGTTTCGACCTCTCAGTCATCATTACTACCCAGAACCCACTGGCCGCATCAAGGGAGCAAAACCATAGGTACGCCTCCATATCGGTCAGTAAGGCATCCACCATAGGCATTACATATTCCATAATGGTCGCAACGGCATTCACTCGTTTATAGTCGATGCCAGGCGGATGCCAACCTCATTCTTTTTAAGCACTATAACAATGGGTGATGCCCATGGGCTGTCTGAGAACGTGACCAATCCCGCTCGTAATAGTCCCTTCAGCAACTCGTACAGCTTTCTCCAGCACTCAGAGTGGCGTTCGCCGCGCTTGTTGTTTAATAGGAATATGCCCCTGCACATCAATATCGCAAACTACACCGTATACCGGGGTGGTAGTGTATTACCGCTAGCAATCATAATCCCTTCGTTACGCTTTAACACCTCAACGAGTTTTGGCTGTTCGTCTCCGCTCAGACTCCCGTTCGTGACGTTCGGTCCTCTCTAGTCCAGCACCGTCGACGAGGGCTCTGTCAAGTAAGGCAAAAAGGCCTACTCGTTCGTACTCGTTCGGGATGTGCTCGTACAAGTTGTCGTCATCGCCCATGTTACCAGAAGCGATTTCAGCTTCGATCTCTTGCATCACCGAGATGTAGGTCAACTCCAGCATATCGACCGAGTCCTCGGCCGGGTTTATTTCGTCTTCCTCAGCGTCCGAAAACTATGTTGGTCTCGTATCAAGCTTCCCGCCAATCTCCTCGTGGAGCCCTGCAGCGGTCGAGGCTTCGCTGTCCTCATAGGGTTTGGTGCTGTAACGGTAGTTCACACCATCTCCCTTGTCACCCGACCCTGAATGATTCAGCATTAACTTCCTGGTTGCCACCGAGGCCTCGGGCGGCCTCGCTAGAATGTGTGCAGGCGTCGTGTACTCCTTTCGCTCCACCACAGGTGGTTGTTCCGCTAACCAGCACTCGTAGAGCTCTTTCTCCTTCTGCAGAAAGGTCGCATCTCGCCCTTCGGCGTACGCAAGTACTTGCCATTCGTTGTACTTGGCTCGAATCGAGCCTGACATACTCCACTTCGCGTGGGAGTTCTCCTCTGGGTATCCATAGGACCACAGAGGAATGTTTGTAGCACCGAGCAGTCCCGTCCGACACGTTCGTCAATCGGCCCTACACAGGCTTGCCCCTGCGGGATTCAATCACCGTCGGTACCATTTGTCTGGTCCTTCGTATCCATAACTCGTGTGTTGTACGTAAGGGTCTCTTCCGAAGCAATCGAAACTCTCGCCACTCACCTCAAGGGACGTACAAGTCGTCGGTCGGTCGACCGACGACCTGTACTCCATACGGTTCATCATCCGCGGCACCACCCGACTTCACCAGTGGTACTGGGACCTCGTCAGGTAGTCTGCCGGTGCCATGGAGCAGGTCTAACCGTACACCTGCGGGGATCATAAAGTCTGTTCCAAGCACGACGTCAACGCCCGCGCTGTGGTCCATATTTCACATTTCGAATTCGTACACTCGTTCCCATCCAAGGGTGATCTTGACGAGTGTTCGCCTTCGAGTCTCTAATACGCCGGGGTTGATTCCCCGTACCTCCAAGCTTCGGCCATGGTCTGGCACCTCACGTAAGTGCAGTCGCTTAGCATACGCTGCCAAGATTACGCTGACATTTGCTTCAGTATCCAGCAGAATGCTCGTTCGAGTGTCGTCAATAGCTCCCATGAGTACAGCTCTCATTCTCGTTCGTTTGTTGTATCGTTGGGACGACCACCACCCTAATCTCTCGCCTGGTAGCAGTTTCGCAGTTCGGACGAGGCTTCGGGATGATGCCTCATTTGGTTCTCTACTTGAAGCCGAAGCCTGTGTCAGGTGCTCATCGTAATCTCCAACGTCTAATCCATCTACCTCGTTCTCAACGAGGCTTCCGTCGTTTCCTTCTGCAATTCCCGTCGTATTCACAAATCCCCTTTCACGGTCTTCGCGTCATTTCACCTCCCCTGCAAAGGCAAACAAATAGTCTGCGTCTTTCGCGGGTTCAGCCAACTGTGGTAGTCCGATAGGAACCAACCCAGTTTCAGTTGGCGGGCTGTCTAATTTAAATGATTCCCATACACCAGGCTTTGCAGCATTGGTGTCGAGGACTTGCTTACACAATTTGCATCACTTGTAGCATTAATGCACGGAAGGAGTCAATCCTCCGCACGCCGCACAAGGACCATACTG